TGTCAGGGTTATTTCTCTGGTGCGAGAATGGCGGCTGAGTGTCACCTGGGGATGGTCCCAAAGCATCAGGACTGGGGGGGGGACCAGAAGGGGGAAGGCTCCAGCTGTAAATCTGGTGTTTATTAAAATATGTGGAAATTGTATAAAACTGGTGATAATGAGGAGCACAGTCCTGTACCCATGCTGGACCCATAGGGTCCCGAGTACCACCATGTGCTCTCCTCCACCAGGATCTAGAAGAACCAAAAAAAAGAGTTAAAAACCCCTCAGAAGAGGGTAAGGGGTCAGATATGGAGGGACGAGTCCATGGCCAAGCCACCACATGAGGCTCGACCGGTGGCATGGACATGGCAGAAGTCCTGCCCGGAGACGGCTTTCTTCCGGCACCGCTTCCCAACCCTGGTGAGCCCCTGGCACGGGGACCGTGGGGACAGCAAGGACCTACAGAGGAGAGACCCATCAGCAGCCCAAGAAGCCCCCAGTAGGGCTGTCCCCCCCACTGTCGGGTCACTGGTTGCATGCCGAGGTGACACCAGCCCCAACATGTCCCTGGAGAAGGAATGTCCCCTACGGTCGGACTCACACGTCACTGGCTGGAGACTGGCTTGGGCCGTAGGGTTTGATCTCCAAACGCTTCCCACCACCCAGGGCTGGCTCCAGCATCACCTGGTTGGGGAAGGAGAGGTTTGACAGGGCACCCTCTGTCCCTGGTGACCCTCCTGTCCTGCAGGAGATGTTTCTTGTCCCCTGGGGACATGTGTGTGCTACAGGATGAGTGCCTGGGCCATCCATTCTTGGAGGACACCCCCCCTCCACCCAAAAGTCCTCCTCGGGCATCATGGCAAGCGCTGTGGAACCAGCCCCAGCCCCTCTCCCAACAAGGTGTCCAGCACCCAGAGGTGCAGCCACGATGAGGAGATGATGATACCCCAACCCTAGAGGACCTGACTCTTGGGGGACGCAGCTGACCAAAAGCAGGGTCTGGCCTAACCTGGGGACATTCCACCCAGATCCTATCCCCAACCTAGGGACATTCCACCCAGATCCTCCCACCCAAGCTCAGGCTTACCCCACATGAGCTCAGCTTTGTCCTCCAACTGTTGGGGATGGGTGACTCTCGCCCTGCTAACCCGTGGAGGTCCCCTGCCATCGCTGGGGGCTGCTCCAGACTTGAGAGCTCTGCAGGAACACGGCATGGGTGGTGACATGCTCCCAGCGCTGCTGTCCCCAGGTGTTGGATGGGGACACCTTGGGGTGGTGCGCATACCCCAACATACCTTGGGGACATTCTGGGGTAACACCCATGTCCCAGCACAGGATGGGGACACGCTGGGGCTTCAGACCTCTGTCCTACAGCCACCACACCTCCCATCCCATGGTCATCCCTCCCACGTCCCCCTGCCCAGCCAGCTCTCACCTTGCAGGCAGCTCATCTCCATCCTGCCCAGCTCCTCCTGCAACAGCTCCACATCGTGCTCTCTACGTGGGAGGAAGGAAACCCAGAGCTCCATCGCTTTGGTGGCTCCTTCTTGACTCCCATCATGGTGGCAGCCCCCTCTCCAGCCTCCCCACACCCTCCTCCGGGCAGAAATAGGGCAGGCAGCTGGGATGAGGTACCCAAAAGCTGCAGGCAAGCCATCAAGATGTGTCCTGCACCCTCCCGGGGACTGGCAACCCACCCTGGGGACCTCTGCCAGGTGGCAACGGGAGATGACATCCAGGATGGGCGCCCAGGTTGGGTCTTAGGAGCTCCCAAGGGCACTGTGCCCATCCCCCGCCCCACAACCATCTCCTACCTGTCCGGGGTGGAGGTGAGCTGGTGGCGGGGAAACGCTGACCTGGCTTCCTGAGCACCGCGGCGGGCCCACTCCACCCGCCCCCGGCCTGTGGGGGGGCCCAAG